TGTCCGCCCATGGACTGAAAGGTTCTGGGTTCAATTCTGGAGAAGGTCACGTACCTCTGTTGGTTGGGGCACATATGGGAGGCAACCAATCAATGTGTTTCACTGTCTCTCTTCCCCTCCCACTCTCTCTAAAAATCAATGGAAAAATATCCTTGGGTAAGGATTAACAACAACAACAACAACAACAGAGAGAAGTGACCAAGATTAAGACAAAGAAGGTGAAAGGAGGACTTTGTGCCTAGTCAAAGCTCAAGAGCTTATGGAGAGTTCGGGGCGGACATTTCATTCCAGTATGAAATGAAACCCAGAAGTATAAGTGTTCTCTTTTAGGCACGACTAGCATTGCTAGAGAGCAGACGAGTCATGAGTAGGGGCGATGGGGATTGAGGAAAAGAATGAAACAGACACAGAGACAGAATGGCCCAGAGCTAGTGTAGCACGTTTATTAGATACAGCATTATACCAAAAAGTTTTACTAGAGTTTAAGACAAAGGAAATTATGTGAAATCATGCTGAAAGATCAAGCTGCAATTCTTCTTTCTTGTGGTTTCTCAGAACTTCAGGCCTGAATGGACCCTGATAATTGCATCCGCACCTGACATCTGGCTGCACTTAGATAATTACACCCACCCCCTGGCGCCTGAACTAAAGGTCAGGACTGACGACACCCCTGCCTTTGGGGAGGTATGTCTCCAGGACATGGCTTTGCCAACTCCGCTGGACTCAGCCGAGGACCCTTGGCTCAGTTGCCCCCCAGGCGCTCTCTACACAGAAGAAAGGCCTGAAGAGCGCCATTAGCAATGTGTTGCCACCTCAAGGCTTCTGGGTGTTAGGTTGGAGGAAGGCTAAGGAAAGAGTCATTCCCGTTAGTAAGGTTGGAGTTAAAGAAGACGCTGTGGCAATGGACATGGTGAGAGATGACATGATTGATGCCTGAGGTAGTCCTTGTGGACAAAGAGGCTATTTCCAGAATACCTTCCTTTGTTGTGATGTACCAGGCTCTGTTTTATTTTTTATCTTTGTTGTTGAAAGTATTACAGATGTCCCCCTTTCCCTCTCATTCATTCCCTCCCCATCACTTTCTTATATCTGCCCTGGTATGTTTTTAGGAACAGCATCTTCTGAGCAGTGTGTCTGCTAATTTTCTGAGTAGTGTGTCTGCTAAGTGGTTCTGTGGACTTGCTAAGAAGCTGATGACCAATCAGAGCCCCTGGAGTTGTCATTCTGACATCTTGGCAAGAACTCAAAGAAGCTGAGAATGGAGGGTGGACTCAATCGCTACAGAGAAAACAGTCCTAGAGAGAAGGGTAGATATGAGCCTGACTGGGTATCATATGTGACATGAAGCTGCAGCTGCTATACTAGTACATCTCCTATTGCTGCCTCTTAAAATGTGGATTGCATTTATTCTGTGTCTCTTTCAGCAGGTAGGTTTAGCATGTATGAGGTATTTTGCCCCATTAGTGCACACATTGAAAAGAACTGCACCTGAGAAGTTTTACTCAGTTCACTTTGTGAGCCCCAGGTTCTGTTTTAAATGGTGAAATCCTGAACTTCTGTCTTGAGCTTGTTGCTGTTATTGTATTACACTTGGGAATTCCTTGGAGAGTGGTCAGAGTTTTGGGTCTGAGGGAAGTGTGAATG